TCTCCGAAGCCCCTGTGCCTCTGCCTCACTTCTTCAAAGTGCCCTGTTGTCTCTGGGGTCCTTCAAAGCGTCTCTCCTGTTTAAAAACAGGCCTCGCACCTCGAGGTGGCACCCCCCATGGTCTCCTCCCCTGCTCTAGCCCCTGCTCAGAGCTGCCAGGCTAAGGGCCTAATCCACCCTTGGTCCCGGAGTGACCTTGTCCCTGACCATGGCCCTGGCCTAGTCCTTGGACCACACAGTCGCACCTCTGCTTTGCCCAGAAGACCTATTTGTGCCCAGGCCTATAGTGTCCTCTGACTTGTCTCTTAGCACCTGCTCCTCCTCCCCCACAGTGAGCGGGACGTCCTCTTCCCAGGGTACACGCACCTGCAGAGGGCTCAGCCTATCCGCTGGAGCCACTGGATCCTGAGGTGAGCAGCTGTGGCACAGGAGCACCGTGAGGGTCGTGTGGGAGGGGAGGCCCTGCTGCCCTGACCCCACAGCCTGCCTCCCACAGCCATGCCGTGGCGCTGACCCGAGACTCCGAGAGGCTGCTGCAGGTGAAGAAGCGGGTCAATGTCCTGCCCCTAGGGAGGTGAGTGGGGCCCAGCGCCTTGTGGGCCTGGAGGGGTTGTGGGCACTGCTGGCCAGTCAGCATGGCCCTTGGGGATTGAAGAGGAGAAGCAGGAAGCACAGAGCCAGCCAGGAAGCCAGGCGACTGGCCAGGAGGAGAGGATGAGGACTGTACACCAACCCCCAGCTCTTCCAACATGGGGCCGACTCAGCCAGAGAACATGTCCAAGCAGGGCCCAAGCTTTCCAGGGAAGCTCCTGGAGAGCCCAGCTGGCCACCACAACCTGCCATTTCCCCTGCGTGGAGACAAGTGTTCTGGCACCCAGGGCTGGGCCAGGGAAGGGATGGGCCCTGGCAACTAAGGCTTGGTTCGGTGGGTACATGTAGATGCACCAGAGCCTGCCTGCCAGGAGCCCTGGTCACTATGAACCCCCTGTCCCCACAGTGGGGCCATTGCAGGCAATCCTCTGGGTTTGGACCGGGAGCTACTCCGAGCAGGTGAGGAGCCCTGCCTGTCTTCCCTGGGGAGAGTCACTCTCAGCACCTGCCAGGTGACCCCCCCACATGATTACCTGCAGGCTCAGAGGTGACCGAGGTGACCAGGTGCTGGGCACACTCAGGGTTGCTGCCTGGGCCTCTGCAGAGATCCCATCCCCTCCTCTGATCCTTGTTCCTGAGGGGAGTCGGGGTCGTGTGGGCATCCTGGTCCAAGGTGAAGAGGACGCTTCCTGCCCTCCAGCCCAGCCCCATTTCCTCCCCACCTCCAGAACTGAACTTCGGGGCCATCACTCTCAATAGCATGGATGCCACCAGTGAGCGAGACTTTGTGGGTGAGTCCTGGGTGCCACCCACTCAACTGCAGGACCAGTCCTTGCATAGCGCCCCATGTTTGTGACCCACCCTGGGTCCTCCCGGGTTCTCCACCCCTGGATCCACCTGGCTCAGCTCTAGGCTGGGTGGGGAACCAGGAGGACCTGCTGACCAAGCACCCGCTGTCTCCCCCCAAGCTGAGTTCCTGTTCTGGGCTTCGCTATGCACGACCCACCTCAGCAGGATGGCCGAGGACCTCATCCTCTACGGCACCAAGGAGTTCGGCTTTGTGCAGCTCTCGGATGCCTACAGGTGAGTCCAGGTGGCCACTCGGCCTGTCCCACTGCCATGGCTTCCTTCCTCCTACCTCCCTGTCGCAACATCTGGACAGCGAGCCGCTGGGCCTGCAGGGCCACCCAGGGCAGGGCAGTCCCATCAGTGCCAGCATCTCTGTCCCCAGCACTGGAAGCAGCCTGATGCCCCAGAAGAAAAACCCAGACAGCCTGGAGCTGATCCGGAGCAAGGCGGGGCGCGTTTTTGGGCGGGTAAGCAGGGCAGCGGGGCAGGATCTCCGGGCCAACCCAGCATGTCCCGAGGGCACCCAGGTCCCATCAACTGAGCCTCCCTCTCCTGCAGTGTGCTGGGCTCCTGATGACCCTCAAGGGACTTCCAAGCACCTACAACAAGGACTTACAGGTCTGAGGTCGGGGAGGGGCGAGGGCCATCTGCCCCCACACCACACGCCAGGCCTCAGGGCCGGGCACACCCAGGCAGGTCACTGGGTGACTGCTGCTCCTCGTCCTGTACTCACAGCCCTGTGGCTGCCTTGGGGGCTGTGTTCTTCCTTGGTGTGGGGGTGAGAGGTGCTCAGTGGTCCCAGTGGGAGGAGTGGGACAGAGCTGCAGGGCCCTCACCTGCTGCTATGGACCCCCCAGGAGGACAAAGAAGCTGTGTTTGAAGTGTCAGACACCATGAGCGCCGTCCTCCAAGTGGCCACTGGTGTCATCTCTACACTACAGGCAAGACTGGCCTCCCCTGCCCATCTGCTGTTCTCCCTCCATCTGGGGTGGGCATGCCTAGGGATGACTGGGAGCAGGCTAGGTGGGCTGCAAGACTCGAGGGCTGTGCCCTCTTCTCGGGAATCCCAAAGGGCCAAAAGCTGCTGCAGTGGAGGAGAAACAGGTCCGGGGCCCAGGGCCCTTCTGCTGGCCAGGCGGGTTCTTCAATAATTTATCAGGGAAGATTTCGGTTGCAACAGTTGCAGAAAACGTCAGAGCGGCTTTGTACCCATGCCCAGCCGCAGTGTAGACCCCGCCGTCTTGCTTCAGCCGTCTGTACCTCCCCCAGTTATCCTGAAGCAGTCCCACCCCTTCATCACTGCATTTCCAAGTCACTCATGTGTCTTGAGCTCTGGTCCTCAGAGCCTCATCCTGGGACTAGCTGCATCCGTGTCAGCTGAGAACCTGACAGAAAGGTGGCCCCAGGCCCCACTCCAGACCACTGACCCCCGCCCTTTAATCAACCTGCAAATCATGCTGTGTGTGGCAAAGGCTCTTGCAAACCCAAAGACACTCTGGGGGCTCACCTAAAAGTATCGGGAATTATGAGAAGACGGGCAAGGAGAGAGTAGGGCAGATCAAATGGGCAGGAGAGTCTGCCCAAGTAGGGGACATCAAGGGTTTGGGAGTAGCCCCTGGGTCTGGGCCTGGCAGCACCAGGCTCCAGGGTCCCCAGGGCTCATGACTTGCCTGGTTGACGCCCCCAGATTCACCGTGAGAACATGGCTCAGGCTCTGAGTCCAGACATGCTGGCCACTGACCTGGCCTACTACCTGGTCCGCAAAGGGGTGAGTGTGAGGTAGCTAGGCGGAGGGCATGGGACAGGGCTTTGCCCTGAGCTGTGCACGAGGGAGGTCAGGAGGGGACAGGCACACTGGGTAGAGCACAGTGGAGGGAACTCACACCAGTGCCACCCCTGCCCTGCCCCCCAGATGCCATTTCGCCAGGCACACGAGGCCTCCGGAAAAGCCGTGTTCATGGCTGAGACAAAAGGGGTCGCCCTCAACCAGCTGTCCCTGCAGGAGCTGCAGACCATTAGGTACGGCCTTCCTCTGCTGTCCCCGGGAGGGAGCCTGGTCACCCCACACAGGGCAGCTTGGACTCCCTGACCCTTCTCCTGCCCTCCTCCAGCCCCCTTTTCTCAGGCGACGTGAGCCACGTATGGGACTATGGACACAGCGTGGAGCAGTACACAGCCCTGGGTGGCACTGCACGTGCCAGTGTCGACTGGCAGATTGGCCAAGTGCGGGCGCTGTTGCAGGCACAGCAGGCCTAGACTCCCCACAACGTGCTTCCAAATAAACCAGGCCCCAGAAGGGTGCAGCATGTTCTCGGCCGACCCTGTCTCCCTCAATGGCGCACTTGCCAGGGTCTGTTGAGCAGCTGGTGGGGGCCCCCAAGGAAGTGGAGAGGATGGTGACCTCTCACCTGGGTGTCCTCAGCAGTGCCAAGGTGGCCCCTGGTGGGCATGGCATGTGCCCTCCTTCCCAGAATCCTCTGGACGCCCTGCTTTCCTTCTCTCCTGTTTAATGTACCCTTCCCTGGACATTCAGGCACCATGACAGGTGTCCCTTGGGCAGCAGTCTATGCCAGGGCTGCAGGAGTAACCGTGCCCTCATGAGGGGCATGGCGTACTTGGCGGTGTGTGATGTCAGGCATGGGGCCAACTTCACACACAGGTGGAGATGGTGCCTCCTCCACCCTCAAGAGGATATGCCAGGAAATCTCCCCTGGATGTGAGGCAAGGGCCTCAGAGAGGTGGCATCCCTCCTGCAGACACGTGGGGGACAGCCACACCAACCTGCCAGGGCCCTGGCACTTGGGAAGTGTTCCAAAGAGCCCAGACAGGAGATGTCTTCTACACAGACAGCCCCAAACCCTGATAAGAAATGTCTGAAGTTTACATTTTATTAATGACAAAGAAAAGTAAGGAAAACCCAAGGGAGAATGAATAGTGGTTCTGGGAGAAATGAAAAGGTTTCTGTATACTAAGGAACCAGAGCTCCAGCAGTGGGGACACGCCCCCAAGCCCAGGACGGAGGGGAAGCTGCAGCCACAGACAGATCTTCCAAGGGAATGGTCTGGAAAGTAGCTGGAGACCCAGATTTCAGTCAGACCTAAAAACAGAGACTGAGTCTGTTTCACCAAGTTCTCTGGGGGACTCCAGTGTGTGCCCAGAGCCTGAGAATCACGGTCACTGGAATGGTCACCAGTCTTGCCCTGACTTGGAACCTGCGCTTAACAAACTCCTGGGTACCTCCTGCTGCATGAAAGTCACAGCACCCATCCAGAAGGTGCCTAGAGCCAGTCCAGGGAGGAAGGAGGCGCGTAGATACCCATCAACAGGTAGTGATGCTTTGCCCGCAGCGCAGGAGGCACTCACTGCACACACGGGGCGCTCACCTGCACCCATGGGGCGCTCACTGCACACATGGGGTGCTCACCTACACCCACGGGGTGCTCACCTGCAATACAAGGCGCTCACCTGCACGCATGAGGTGCTCACTGCACACACGGGGCACTCACTGCACACACGGGGCACTCACTGCACACACTGAGCACTCACCTGCACACATGGGGCCCAGCCCTGCAGATGAGAACCAGAACAGAGCAGGTGGAGAGACTGCAGGAGTCTGTCTGCCTCCTTGGAGGGCACCGTGCGGTCTAAGTGGGGGATCTTCTTAGATGACCCTGTTTAAAGTTCCTCCCTGACCAATTAGGATCTGTCTCCCGGGGCCTTGACACAGCAGCCTGGCCTCCTGAGACTTGACCTCACCAGAGGGCAGGGGAACGGGTGGAGACAGGGTGTCACACCCTCCTCCAGGGGCTGCTGTGCCTGATGCTCTTCTTCACACCTGCTTATCCTGGTCTGCCACCTGATCTTTTCCACTTCTCTACTTTTTTGTTTTCAACCTCAGCATCTGGGGGATGGGGACATAGCTCAGTTGGTAGGGTGCTTGCCTCGCAATCACAAGGCTCTGGGTTCAATCCCCAGCACCACATACATACCAAAAGAACATAGTCAACCTTGGCATCTAAATACACCCAAACTCAATGTGACCCTGTACAGTGTGACCCTGTATCAGTTACCTGTTGCTGCTATAACAAATACCACAAACCTGTGGGCACAAAACAACATGAGTGGAGTCTGAAATGGATCATCATTAAGATGAAATCAAGTGTCAACAGGGCCAGGCCTCCTTCCCAAGTTTTAGAAGAGAATCCACTCCTTGCCATTGCCAGTCTTTAGAGGCCATGTGTGTCTTGGCTTGTGGCCTCTTCCTCCATCTCCCAGTCTAGCAGATCTCTCTGCTTTCGTTGGCACAGCTCCTTCTGACCCTTCTGCCTCCCTCTTACAAGGACTCTTGTGATCACACTGGATCCAATTAGGTAGTGAACACAATCTCAAGACCCTAGTCATATTTACAAGTTCCTTTTATCATTTAAGGTACCAGATTAACAGGTTCTAGGGATTGTGGTGTGGATTTCTTTGGGGTCCCTGACTGCCAGGGGCACCTGATCTTGCAAGACCAACTGTCATTAAAGCTTTGCTTTTTGCCATACCTGTCTGTCTCCTGGTCCCTTCTTTAGGCTTTAACAGGTATGTTTCTCACACAAGGTCCCCAGTCTTAGCCCATGGCAGCATCAGTTGAAGTCCAAAATCTCATCTGCATCGAATCATCTAAATGACCTAGCCAGGCGTGGTGGCACACACCTGTAATCCCCATGGCTTGGGAGGCTGAGGCAGGAGGATCTCAAGTTCAAAGCCAGCCTCAGCAACAGTAAGATGCTAAGCAACTCAGTGAGAACTTGTCTCTAAATAAAATACAAAATAGAGCTGGGATGTGGCTCAGTGGTCGAGGGCCCGAGTTCAATTTCTGGTACCCCACCAACACACAAGAATGACCTAAATTAGGTACAAGTACAGCATCACCCAGGGATGACTGAGTGTAGGCCTTCCTGGGGCCACACTTCGTCTGTCTAATCCTGGGAAACTCACGACTATGTTGAGGTTTAAGTGAGTTCACACACATAAACTCCAGAACCCGTTTGCTCCTAATGCAGTGCCTGGACCAGCACAAGGTAACAGTCACAGACATTCCAGTTTAAAAAGGAAGATGGTGAAGGAAAGAAGGAGTCACTGGTCCCAGGCAATTTTGAATTGCAGCTTGGAAAACTCCCTCGGTCTCAGGGCCTGGGAATGGGCTGACCCTGGGCTCTGCCCCTGGCCTGTACCACCGTCCTCTGAGTCATCCTTACCAGCCGAGTCCTGCTGGTGGGCTGCGGCAGTGGGGTTTGGAGAGAAGCTTGGAAGTCTTCTTTAATTTCCTCTTGATACTGGACGTGGGAAATCCTGACTCAAGACACAGAAGAGGAACCAGCTCAGGAGAGCACAAACAGGCCTGAAGGGAGGAGCATTGACCGGACACCAGGCTGCTCTGCCAATAGGGAGATGGAAGCTTGTACGTTGATCTGGGACAGGGCAGAGGCAGGTCATTGGCACTGGCCAGAGGCATGCTCCAAAAGATGTTCCACAGATGTCAGTTGAGCAAGGCTTAGACCACCAGGGGCTTGTGCTCAGCTTGTCCTGGGAACCGCCGTTATCCTGTAGCTGGTGCCACCACCCTATGCAAGCCTGGCTTGAGGCTCCCTCGGGGCCTTGTGCCAAAAAGGAAGGGCCTAGGATGCTTGGGCCGCGCAGTGGGTGAAAAGGCAGGCGGTGGGATGGAAGAAAGCCCCAGGTCCAGGGGGAGGTCAGCATGTCCACCTGCAGAACCTGGGGGAAGTTCCCCCCAGAGTTAAGGGGACAGATGTATCACGAAGATGGAGATCCCTCTCAGCCACCCATTAGACACTTGCAGGCCCAAGTCCCTGAAAAGTCACCTAGGCAACAGCTGCTGTCATCACCCACACATCAGAGGTGTGACCTCCAGCAGAGCCAGCTGCGTGGCCTTTGAGGTTGACTAGGTGAAGCTAGAGGTTTATTTGGTTTCCCCTGGTAACGATGTCATCCGCCTCTGTGGTTCCCTGATGTCTCGCCATGGCTCTGTGGGAAGAGCACAGGGTGGGAGCAGCCCTGCCTGACTCAGAGGATGTGCCCACAGTCACCTGCCCTGCCAGCTCCTGTCCCCCCATGCGGCCTCAACACTGTTTTTCTCAGTCTGCGCCGAGGGACTTTTGCTGGCAGAACGTCCGTGAGAACCCTGTGGGTCTCCTGGACAAGAAGCTCCTCTCCAGAGATTTCCTGGGTGATCCCATTTCTGTTCCTGGCTTCTGCTGAGATACCTGAGGGACTCCATGAGACACATTCCTGATCTCTTCAAGAGCACTGTGTGAAATGCTCTGACCCTTCCTGGTACCCGGGATTGAACCCGGGGTGCTTATCCACTGAGTCACATCCCTGACCCTTTTTATTTTGAGACAGGGTCTCACTGAGTTGCTTAGGGCCTTGCTAAGTCACTAAGGCTGGCTTTGATCCTCCTACCTCTGCCTCCTGAGCTGCTGGGATTACTGGCCTGCACCATTGAGCCTGGCATTCTGGCCATTCTTGATCCTTGCAGGCAATAGCAAACCGTCAAACAACACCCTGGGCTTCCTCTGTAAAGCATGCTTTCCTGACAGTCATCTCCTAGTCTCAGTATCTTAAACTGGATACTTAAGTAGACAAGCTGAGAATTTCCCAAATTACGAAATCCTAGTTTCTTTTTGCTTAACGACTCTTAACTTGTGCTTCTCCTTGCACATTATGCCAGACAGAGAGAGCAGGCAGGTGCCTGACAAAGGGGAATAAGGTGGTTCTATTGGCTGTGGGTTGGGGGCCTGCTGCACCTGAACAGTCAGTCTATGCACCACACAGACCTGAGCCCTATTTCCAGGAACAGGAGCTTTCCATTCTTCCCTGTTTCTTCTGGTAGTCACCCCCTTATGTCAGATGAATTAAATTATGTGGCTATTTGTTGATTTATTGATTTACTCAATACCTATTAACATTACATAGTCATCACAATTAGTTAAGAGTTTGCCTCTCTATAACCATATTCCGCATCCAACACTGTGCTGGGATTGTCATTGGTGTGACTCCACCCTCCATCCCAAATCACAGTCACCACCACATGCCCAGTGTCTCACTGATTTAAAATACTCATCCGCAGCGGCTCCAGAGGCCAAGGCTGGAGGCTGCAAATACAAGCCAGCCTCAGCAACTCAGTGACAGCCTGACTCAAAATAAAAGATAAAAAGACTGGGGTATGGCTCAGTAGCTAAGGGACCCTGGGTCCGATCCCCAGTACCAAATATAAATAAATTAAATAAACATAAAAACACCTCCTTTCTGTCAATATTACTTTTCCAACGGTCAAGTGTATCACAAGACCCACCAGGACAGGCCTGGGAGCCTCTGGTCTTGGACTCAGTTCACGCTGAGCTCTCCGGTACCTCAGCGTAGCTGCAGCCCGATGTCCCTTGGCGGCTTGTCCCTGTCTCAACGTCTGATCTTGGATCCTGCCGCTTCCCCATTTTGTTTTATGTCCATATTTCCTTTAGTAACATCTTCTTAATATCCTAAGAAAAAGTGGATGGAAATTACAGTTTTAGCATGTTTTGTTCCTAAATCTGTCTTTACTCTCATAATTGGCTGAGTTGAGAATCTAAATGGCAGATCATCTTCCATGGGAATTCTGCTTGATGCCGCTGTGCTTTAGCTTTCAGTGAAGCTGGAGACATCCCAGGTCACACTTCCTCTGGCTCGAGGTTCCCAGAGCCCCAGCCTCCCAGAGCTTCTATTGTGACTCAGAAGCTGGCTCCTTGCAGCAGCTACTTCCTGCTGGGCTGTGTCCTGAGTTGTTCCCACTGAGATCTGGGAAGAGGACCAGGTTGATCTTTCCTAAAAGCAAGATCGGAAGGGGTGGGCCATTCTTACAGCTCCCTCTGTAAGATTAGGACCCTCGAAGCACTTCAAATGCCAACTGTGCCCCCCCCCAGGCCTGCTGTGGCTCCAGCCCTCACCCTGACAGCTGCTCCCTCCTAGGCCTGGTATGACATTTAATCTCCTTGGCTCTGAACATCCACCTCTGGGATGTGCTGATGGGGAGACAGCTCTGACCCATTCCCAGCCCTCAAGGGTGGGTTCAGACCCTGGGCAAGCAGGGCCCACAGATCAGAGACCTGGACTGAGAAGTTTAGAACTGCCTCCTTCCGGGTGGTGAGCTTCCTCCTTTTCATTTTTTTTCCTTTGCAGTGAACATAAATAAATAAATAAATAAATGGTCCCTGGGTTTTGTGCCTTCAGAGAAGGGAAGAGAAAAAGTAACTTTCAGATTTGCTGTAATATTCTGCTAATTTTGAAAAAAAAATAAAGTCACAGAGCTAAAAACTTTTTTTTTCCTGATAAATTCTGGTGCAAATAAGAACTATAAACAAAAGCCAATAAATTAAAAAAACCCCAAAGAATGATAAACAAAGGAAAAACAAACCTCTAAAAAGTAATAAAAACAAAAATTAATAACAGTTATAGAGTAAACGTACTTAATTTTAAAACATTAAGAGGCAAACACCACATATCATCACGTATCACAGGTTCCGTTAATATAAAGGTGAAATAATAACAGACAGACTTGGTCTTGAGGTAGGAAACTGGAGATACAGAAAAGGAAAGGCCGTCTCAGGAGAGTCTTGGGGATGCAGGAAACACCACTCAGGACCAGCAGAGGCAGGTGTCCCAGGTCAGTTCCCTTGGCCCACGCCCTTGACTCCACGCCCACACCTGTAGAGAGTAAGGTGGGGGCAGTGAGCCGCTGCTGGGAACATGGGTGAATGTGGTTGCTTTGGCTGTCCCTCTAGCCCAGTCCCCGACAGTGGCCAGCCTGAGAACCGATGAATGGGAGACTGAAAGGACAAACAGTACTCAGGACAAACCTGCCCCAGGGCCCAGTGGAGGCCCAACGGCTTCCCAACTGCAGCCTGGGGAAGTTATAGGGGGCGAGAATCACAGGGATTTTGCTGTGAGGCCGTAGCTAGGGGTTGTCAAGGAGGGTCCTTGGGTAGACCAGATGTTTTCAAGATTTCAGTCCCAGATGACAATTTCCTTCCTTTGCATGATGGTGGAGGTTATCTGGGTTCAGGTCAGGTTAAGTCAGAGTGACCGTGAGGCGACTCTTGTTCTTGATGGAGGATGTGTTTCAAAATGGCACTGCCTGTGTCAAGTTCTCCCCAACAGTGGGCACCTCACACAATGGGGTTGTTAGGGTTATTGTTTCTCCCTCTCCAGGTGGCCCACATTCTCCTCTGAACATGTATCTGCTTTCCAAAATAAGTCACATGTGTCTGTGATGAGCACGTGCTGAGATGCCCTTCTGGCTGGTGAGGTGGTACAGGCCTGTAATCCTGAGGACTCAGGAGGCTGGGGCTGGGTGGCTCAGTGGCAGGGCACCCCTGCGTTCAGTCCCTAGGCATTGCAACAAATACCCCTAAAAAGAACCATAAAGGGGCTGGGGATATGGCTCAAGCGGCAGCGCGCTCACCTGGTATGTGTGAGGCCCGGGTTCGATCCTCAGCACCACATACA